AGTGGGGATTGTAGCAATATTAATAAGGTGATTGCATTAAACTAAACTGGGCAATTATGTCAGGAAAATAAACACACAACTCTTCCAATTAAGGTACATGAAATTTTATTGTATTTGTAGTGTTTAGTCTTGCACACATACAAGGAAACAGGAATGAGGTAACAAATACATTCGTGTATGGAAAATTTGATTTCTGGGTGCTGAAACATTGGCGCATGTGTTGGATTATGAAATGGTTACAATTCAGTTACTTAATGTATGTAAATGCATTTTTAAAAATGCACGTGGAATATTAATGAAAACAATAACTATAACACTAACCCCATGTGGTTCACCATATAATGAAGCTATATTACTAACTCAAAACTGGGTAAATCTGTTCTTTCTTGCAACATAAATAGCCCATTTGTAGTACATGCTTTGAACAGTTGAGTCTAAAGCATTGCAAATGCATATAATCCCTGGGTATGTTATTTATTTCACAGGTGATGGTAACCACAAACTCTGCTGTGTTAAGGTAACTTTACAATGAACATCACATTTGCATGGCAGTAAAAGCAATAAATAAAGAGCACCTTTTACACACAAATAAGTGTTAAAAAAATTCAGCTACATCGTGTTCACAGACAAATTGTTTTAGAGGGTTATTAAGAAACCAGTAAATAACTCAAAAAAGGATCAGTGACTGTACATACCCTGTCCATCAGGAGATTTAGTAATTATACAACTCAATCTATATTATATATTTAGTCAAACCTGGTTCAATATACCTAGATTAAAGCAAAAGCATTTGTAAAGGTGATGAAATGTCTGTTAGACAGTCCTGGAACTCAAGGTAAGATAGGCTGTTCTCTTAACATAAAAAAGTTCCCCCCACCCATCCCTAAGTAATTTTGTGGAAAAAATTACCACATTTTTGGAAATAAGATATACATTCAAGATCACTTGATTGAAAAGATTAATGAATACATATTTCATTAAGATAACATTACAAGAACACGCATGAAAGACAGATACTGCCTTGAGAGCCAGGACTGGGCTGCCAGACTGTCCATCTAATCTTATTTAAGGACAATGTTTTAGATACTTCTGTTAAAACTTATCTTGTTGTCACACACAAACTACAACAGAAGATGGGAGTTCCAGGAATTGATTGAAAACAGTGGTATTAATTATCAGTATTCAAAAATTTAAAATGAAGGATCGACACGTATAAAAAAAAAAAAAAAAACTGACCAAATGCAAGAATCTGATTCACAGATAGTGCACTCTTCTATTAATCTGTCACTACAAGGGTGTCATTGCTCTTAAAATCTTTTTGATGGGTACCTTCTAAAGATAGACTAAAGAATCACACATTACATGAGAAACTATTATCAGGTATCCAAAGAATGTCAATCCAAGTAAAAACGCTTGCTTTGTCGTTCACGGAATACCGTCACTAGCAATGAACAAAGATTCTATTAAAATTAAATCAATTTTAAAATTAAAATACATTAAAAGAAGATTGTGTCACCAGATTTTCAAGGTACACCCTACATTTGATAACCTTCTCAACCCATCATAATGGTACAGTCCATGTAGTCACATGACAAGAAAGACTTGATCTGATAGGCCACAAGTTTACCAACACTGGGCACATTATTTTATAGGTCAATAATTTAAAATGTATGTAATAATATATGTATCCTTAAAACTATGTTCTCCATCAAACTGTCAGTGGAAAAAAAAATTATAATACTGACATAGGCGAACTTTAGGTGAAAAGGGAAAATTACAGAGAATGAACATGAACATTTTAATATTTCAATTTAGCAGAAATACAATCTAAATGCCGTGATAACTGGACAAAATTATTTCCCCCATTCAAAATACACCAACTTTTTTACAAAGTTTAAGAATAAATCAATGCATTAGTTTGTTCAGTTTTTTTTATTTTATTTTTTTTTCGCGCTTTGTTACAAATAAGTAGATTGACTGCAAGAACAAAATGAAGGCGTCAGTGAACGTATTGAACCATTGTTTGGCTCAAAACTTGCTGACAAAATGCCAACACAACAGAAGAAGAATTTGCAGTTTTCATCAGAAACGAACAAAATACGGCACAAATAATTTGTGTCTTGATGGCAAAAAATACCTGATACACAAACCTGGCAAGCAATTGTGGCAAAAAAACTAAAATGAAGATGTCTAAAGGAAAGTTGACAGACGCACAGACTGACAGACTCACAATCAGCGTATTCTGCGACTTCACTCCATTGACTATGATCAAGCAACTGAACAGAGGATTTCGAAATGAACAGTCCAACAGCTGGTTTAATAATTTTTCATTATCAAATTTGACGGAAACGAGTTCACCTGATTTTCAAAACTTTGTTTTCAGTAAGTATTGAAGCAACTACAGGGTAAATCTGTTTCTTCCTGTGAATAGAAATCCAAAGATTTTATACATCAACAGAAAATGGTGCCAGTTGTTCATTTTGCCTCTCATCAGATGGGTGTAACACAAGTTTTCTTTCATCAACAAAATTCAGGTTTCATAATCATTTTCACAAGAAAAGACACACTGTTAAAAAAAAACATGTTTGAAGGGAGATTCACATTTTTTTAATGATATAAATTAGGTAAGGATCATGTGAACTTTTCATTCATCAATTAGTAATTATTGAACAGACAGTCAAGACATTTGGAAATCCGCTGTTGTCAAAATCAAAAACCTGTGTAGGTAGGGCCAACCAGACTAGTCTCCTACATAATGTATCGACGTAGGCAAACTGGACAAGCTTTACGATAATGCAAATACATAATTAATTATTCATGGTGGCCATACACATATCTATACAAGGTGATACATGTGAATAATCACCAATTAAAATCACCTATTGTGCATGCAGGCCACACCCACTTTAAGTTCATTTTCATGCATGAAATAAAGGTCAGTATTTCATCAAGTGATACAAACATTGAATACGTTGAAGTATTTCATAACATGAGCATATGTCAATCTAACTTGCGTGTGAAAAATCAATTGCTACCTTTGAAGCAGTAATTATATAATACTTAAAACTGTCATTAAATTTGTGACCCGCTCACTTTGAACTTGGCAAAGTTATTATGGATATTGGTAAAATATACAATATCACATACAAATTACAAAAGTTATTGTCATGACAACAAGAGTTAAAAGTCAAGAATGAAGACTGACATTTCACCATAACAAATTTTCCCATTTAATTTTTATTATGTGAAAGCAAAAAACAAACGTACTTGGAGCAGTAAAAACCAAAACACTGGCAAGAATGGTTCACACATGCTAAAATACAGAATTCGGGAAACAAATCCATAAAAAAAATTACTACGGCTAGGTAGTGGAAACAACTTTTATTTTTTTGTGTGTGTGTCCGTCCATCCGTCCGTCCGTCTGTATGTATGTCTTTCAGTCTGAGTGTATCCGTCAAGGTGCGTGTGTATGTTGATGACTATATCTACAGATAAGACATGGTTTAAAGTTTAAACAATTGTTTTCTCTATAAATTGACTCGTTTTTTTTTTTGTATCATGAATAATAATTTATACCAAATGTGGTGTTTTGTGAATGACATATACATAAATAACTTAAATATCTTTTAATATAGTTCATTTCCATCGTTAAGACTGAAATTGTTTGCCTTTGTTGATAAACTAAAATCAGTATAAAGAGATGTATCAGTGACCGTAATGTATTCTTCCAGGCAGCATCGAACAGAACGCCAATATTGCAATTAGGCGTTCTTACACACATGACAAGAAGGGTTAAATTAAAACCTGACAACAACAAAAAATCGCTGGGACACTTTGGCAACATAAGACAGTATGTACAATGCTTTCTACAAACACTAAAATTCTATTAAGCAAGAATGTAAAATATGACTTTAAAATAGAGATTTCTTTGGTTTTTTTTTTTCAATTCTACTGATAGACATGTTCAACGTGTCAACACTAAATTGAAAAAAAAATAATAAGACAGTTGCACAATCTCTAACAACCGGCCTCCAGTTCCAAGACTGCAAAGATTCCACATTGAGTAGCAGTACCGTCATTGGTCGAAACATGGCAGCCATGGTGTCATCTCCATGGTAATACATCCCATAATACATGACCTGGGCCATACCATAACTGGTGAATGTCAAAACATGGCAGCCATGATGTCATCTCCATGGTAATACATCCCATAATACACGACTGGGGCCGTATTACAACTACAGAGTTAGCCAACTAGTTACACATTTAGTACTAATGTCTGTCTTGGTGCTGCAATGAAAAAACAAAGTAGTGATTAATGTAGCACCGCATTTCCTGTAATAAAAATGACGTATTTTAACATTTAAATCAAGACTACTGGATGTAGAAGCAGTGAATATTAATAAAATTTGAAAACCAATATACTTACACGCCTTCTGAAAAGTCTACTAAACAATCCCCTTCTGGGAGGGGGTGGTGGCTGGTCCATCATTAAATCGGGTGTTGGAGTGCAATTTGGTCCAAATACATTAAGCTCATTGAAACACTCAGTTTCTACCATCTGGAGGAAAATAACAATAAAATGAATGATAAGCAATATTTCTCTCATCACTGAACTTTCAAGAACTTAAAAATATAGTTGAACTCTGGTAACCTTGCCCTTTATTATATAATATAATTCCCTTTACCATAGTTTATTTCAATATGAATATGCATTGTCATAATTAATTTTGAATACAAACAAGTTTTGGGGTTGAACCAACAGTGGGGAATCAGTCTACCGAATGTCCTTAAAAGATGTAAATATCTTATAAAAACATTGGTGTCTTATTTGTTTAATTATTTTAAGGACATAATTTTATAGCTTTATTCAAAGTAATTCAGATATTTTAGTATAAAACAAATGTCTCATTGCAAAAAA